CATATACCATGCCATATGCCCATCCCTAAACCCTAAAATTGTCTATAAATGACTCCAAATCTTTAAATTTAATTATGAGTATTATATCCTATATTTAGAAACTTGAATCCTGCTATATTGGCTCCACATAACGCCCTGGTGCAAGAAGGTAAACCACAATCAGTTGTACAACCCTCATGATGCTATGCCAGCTAGGGATCTAACTTTAACCCCACCAATAATGGGGTACTGTGGAGTAGTTGTGATCTTAACACATTATGGCAGTATTAAATCTTCATATTTGTTTGCTGACTTGAGTGATTTTAAGTAGTCTTTTAAAATGTAAAACTCAATTCCCTTTTTTCTACATACGATTGTGCTAGAATGTTTGCATACCCTAGCAGAAATTGTGAAATGTTGCTAATGATTTTGAAAATATGACTAATCATGCAAAAATATTTTGTGTAACAAGGTAATGGAACTTTTTAAAGATGGAAAAGTATATAAAAAGTTATGCACAGCTTTGACAATGCCAGACAGTACTTTCAATCACTTATTAAGAAGTGGAAAATTCGGGGATCTCTTGATACTAAGCCAAGGTCAGGTAGACCAAGAAAGATTTCACCCACAACTGCCAGTAGAATTGTTTTTGGATTCAAATAGAAACCCACATGTAACCTCAGGAGAAATACAGGCTGCTCTGGAAATAGATGATGTAGGAGCACACTACGACGATACTTAAACAAAAATTAGCTTCATGGTCGAGTTCACAGAAAGAAGCTTTTACTGCAACAATGCCACAAAAAAGCCAGTCACAATATGCCCAACATCATCTTGACATGCCTCAAAGCTTCTGGCCCACTGTAACTTGGAGTGACAACACCAAAATAGAGCTTTATGGTCACGACCATAAGTACTATGTTTGGAGAGGGGTCAACGAGGCCTTTAGCGAAAAGAATACCATTCCCACTGTTGTGGTGGCTCACTGATGTTTTGAGGGTTTGTGACCTCTAAAAGCACAGGGAACCTTGCGAAAATTGATGGCAAGATGAATGCAGAATTGTGTCGGACCGCCGTCACTAAGTTCAATGCCCACTGCTTATTCTTCTGTTTTCCCCTTGTATTATGTGTTCCCACTTGTATTTCTATGTCTTTCGTGTATTGTGCCTGTACATGCAGTTGTGGGTCAGCAAAAGGGGTGCCTCTCCACCTCCCCCTTCCTTTTGTGAATGTAGTGTCTGCCTGAACTCCCCCCCCTCCCTTTTCCTGTCACAGCAGGACATTGACACAGAGAAACTTCCAGCCAAGTTTAACCTAGATGCTTTGTCTTTCCTCCACCCCCTTCCGCTTCTTGAGATTGAAATCCCTGTTGTTTTGTGTTGGAAAATCTACATAGGGGTCTGTGTTTGTAAAGCCATGTGTAACAAAATAAACTGAGTAATTCCTGTTGTACCTCCAGTACTGTGTGTTGTCCAGTTATTGGGGGAAAATGGGTCTCATTTTCTAACTGGTTCCCGACCAGCTGAAGGAAGGGAATTAATGGAGGTAACCAGTCGGGATACCCTGGGTCCGCTACAAGAATGTTATTAGAAAATACAATTTGCATTCTTTTGCTTGATAGCTGTGCACGGGACTTGAACTTTCCAGCATGACAATGACCCTAAGCACAAGGCCAAGTTAATCCTCCAGTGGTTACAGCAGAAAAAGGTGAAGATTCTGGAGTGGCTATCACAGTGTCCTGACCTTAAAGGACCACTATAGTGCCAGGAAAACATACTCGTTTTCATGCCACTATAGTGCCCTGAGGGTGCCCCCACCCTCCGGGTCCCCCTCCCGCCCGGCTCTGGAAGGGGGTAAAACTTACCTTTTTCCAGCGCTGGGTGGAGAGCTCTCCTCCTTCGATCCTCCTCTTCTCCTCCCCGTCGGCTGAATGCGCACGCGCGGCAAGATCTGCGCGCACATTCAGCCGGTCACATAGGAAAGCATTCATAATGCTTTCCTATGGACGCTTGCGTGCTCTCACTGTGATTTTCACAGTGAGAAGCACGCAAGCGCCTCTAGTGGCTGTCAATGAGAGAGCCACTAGAGGAAATAGGGGAAGGCTTAACCCATTCATAAACATAGCAGTTTCTCTGAAAACTGCTATGTTTATGAAAAAATGGGTTAACCCTAGCTGGACCTGGCACCAAGACCACTTCATTAAGCTGAAGTGGTCTGGGTGCCTAGAGTGGTCCTTTAATATCATCCAGCCACTCTGGGTTGATATCAAACATATGGTTCATGCTAGACGCCTAAAGACTTTGCATGATCTGTGGGCACTTAAGTGCATGGGCCACCCAATGGGCCACCACAGCATGCAGGTTCCAATGATAGTTCCTTCAATGTACTCTGGGTTAACAATTAAAGGGTACCATATCAGACCTGTACTTTTTGGATCCAAACTCAGGCACCAGCCTGGATCTGCCTCCCTCCAACAATATCCCTGACATTTTGCTTTATTGATAAAAGAACAAGGTGTGGCCTCATGATCGTATAAAAAGAAAACATGTATTTTGGTCAACACCTTCCTGTAGAGACATTATAATAATTTTAGTAAGTGTTATGACATATAAAATGGCATGTGCAGCATTCTGGCAGCATACATGTATACATGTATATTGACCATTACATTGACTGAATCACTAACAGAAAGCACACAATAAAAAATAAAGTCATGTTATAATTAGAGCATTTTCTATAATAACTACCATAATAATATATTTATAAGAGTTAAGCTAGTTTTACGTTGCTATTATCAGACTTACAAATTGACAAGTGATACAGTAGATTGCCATCAAGCTTTGAATTATTGTGGTTGAGTACGTCACTTTAAATATTGCTGTAAAAATTTGAGTCCAGCTTTATTTAAATTATTTCATTTTTCATTTTCACTTTTAAATATTTCTTTCACTTATGTGCATTTCATAAATATCTGTATAATACACTTTTAACTCGCTTTTCTAATGTATTCAATATATTTTAAGCAATTTATAAGTAATATCAGCAAACCTTATTTAATAAAAAGTAAAAGGTTTACTGCGGGTGCTTTACTTTTCCTGTTTAAGTTTTATGTGACACTGTCATTTTTTTTCCTTTTAGTTTTCTTATCCTTATTTCCTTTACAACTTAATAATTACACCCGCGCATTGCCACTTTCCTTTTTTTATATTTATTATCTTACCTTCCTTTTAAAGGATCTCAATATCTGGTTTCCTTCCATGTTCCTCTCCTTTGTTGATAATGTGTCCTATTTGCCCTTTCATGGCTATTGGATAGTGTGTAAATTAGCTTGGCAACCGAAATGGATCTTTTCTTATGCACTTGCCTGGATTTGCCACACTAAGGCCTCTGACTGGCAGCTAGAACAGGGGCAGCACTGAGTACCTGTGAAATTCAACATATAATATTTAATTTGCCTAGTATAACATGTTAGGTCAGTCTGCTGCACCTATCTCACTTCCTCTATGAGTACACCGTGGAACTGCATCAGAACTGTTATTAGGTTCCCTCTAGCCCTAGATCTTGGGGAAGTATACAGGGCATAAGATAAGCTCCTCTTCCTGCATGGTCTGTGTGTTGGGCTCAAAAGGTGCTGGTTTTGTATGTTGCCTGGTGCAAATCTGTCTCTCTGACTTTGTGGAGTGGTGGAGTAGATGCACTGAGCACTATTAAGACCAAGCCAGAAGCCTTGCTTTGCAGAGTGAGGATGTTGATGAATAACATTTCCTACTCTGGATTACAGTGTTTCATTTGCTCTCCCTATGTAAGTATCTGAGTATGTGTATGTGTGTCAGTATGGTGTGTGTGTATGTGTCTGTATCACTGTGTGTATGTGTTTCTAAATGACTGTGCACGTGTTTCCATATAACTGCGTCTGAATGTGTGTTTCTATGTGATAGTGTCTCTGTGTGTTTTGTGTGATAATGCTTGTATGTGTGTCTGTATGTATGCCTATATATGTGTTTGCATGATTATGTGCATGCCTGTATTACTATATGGGGCATATTTAAGCATTCTGAGGGTGATGGTTTAATTTGGTTATTATTTTTGCAGAAATATCTATTTCAGGAAACCTCCAAATTAGAGTTGCAGGAAAAAAAATAATCCAGACCACTTTTCTGTTGAAAACGTAGCAGAAAGATTGCTAAATATGTATATAGTATATATATAGAGAGCATGGAGTGCATGGAGAAATCTAGCGTTGGGGCATCAGAGAGGGTAAATCTGACCCTCATTATACTCCCCATAAGAAAAAAGTATGCCATACTCTTTATATGTATAAGTTAGAAAATTTAGGCAAATTAAAAAAATAAAGCATGGAGAAATAGAAGGACAAAAAAGGATTAATTTAAAAACAAAACCTGACCTTCAGTTGTACTTCGTCTGGTATTGTAGAGCTGTTTTCAGCAAAATGTCATAATGCCACCAAGGTTAAAAAACATTATTGCTTTATGACTACATGTCACTATTCACTAAAGTACAAAAGACCCAGTATCAAATGGGGCAAAATATCTGGCATATAGGGCCATTCGGACCGCAAAATCCAGACATTGGTCACAATCTTTAACAATTTCTAGATTTTGTCATTCATGCCCTAAACAGTTCTGAATTTGGTCTGGATATCAGCTGAACAGCTAAAATACAGATCAAATGCTTCAATCAGAAGACTGCCAGTGGAGAAATAGTTCTTCCAAATATTAATTCATTTGAAAAAAGCAAGGAAATTATATATTGTGAATGTGCATCCTGCTGGATGCATTCAGTTCAGAATTTTGTTAAAACTGATGCTTTCTGAATCTTCTGTGAATCTTCTTTGTATAGAATTTGGATGTGAGAGCACTGATTTTAATCCAAACACCAAATCCATCCAAACGATTGCCTAATATCCAGTCTGACATACTAAATTCCAATTTGAATTAAATCTGTTAATTAGTGATGTCCCGAACTGTTCCTCTGTCTGAATGCTCAGCAGCTCTTGGGTGTCAGGTTCCACCTGGTAGTGATGTGCCACTGCCCTTGGTGTTGGGTTCTGCCTCACTTGGTTCCACGCTTGTCTGCTCCGGATCTGTGTGCATTCTCTGGACATATGTCCCCACTGTTGGCAGGTATGGCACTGAATGTTGGATCGGCCGTTGTAGCGAGAGGGAGGTGGTTGGTTCCCTTGGGCCGGTCTAAACGAAGTGGGGTTGGAGGTTGCGGGGGTCACTGTGCTGGGTTGCACAGGGGGTCTAGTGTAGCTCCGATTAACCGGCCCATGATGTCTTCTGGCATCAAAATGTTGGTCAGCCAATCTGGCTGCTTCAGGTAAGGTGAGAGGTTTACGGTCCCTCACCCATTCTTGTGCTTCAGGGGATAATCCATTGAAAAATTGTTCCAATAGAATGATTTGGCGCAGTTCCTCCATGGTGCTGGCTTGGCTCGCCTGTATCCACCCCTGCGAGGCTTGGTCCAGCTTGTGCGCCCATTCAGCGTACGAATCTTTATCTGGTTTGCACAATCCTCTGAACTTGCGCCGATAAGCTTCTGGCGTAATGTATAGCCCTTTTTACTTTTGGATAGTCTTTGCTGTCCTCCCTAGGGACAGCGCGATATGCTTCTGCTGCCCGCCCCGCCAATTTTCCTGCTAGCAGGGGTATCCATACTGCCTGCTCTAGGTCGTGCAGGTCACATAGCCGTTCAAAGTCCTGCAAGTACCCATCAATCTAATCCTTCTCCTCACAAAACATCTTGAAGGCATGATAAGGGATTTTCGGCTTTACCAGACCTTAGATGGAGGCAGTAATGGATTCTCGCGCCAATGTAATAGGTAATAAGGTGACAATAGAGAATAATAAATATATGTATATACATACAGAGTAGTCCAACAGTATACTGATTGACGTCAACCTTATAAAAAACAAATAAAATATGGACAATAATAGTGCAGCATATCAGATAAAATATTGTGAGATATTCAGGAAACTAGTAGAAGGACTAACTCACACTTTCCAGAGCTACTAAGAGCTCTACTGTAAAGCGCCTGGACGGTATAATCCCCGTCTAAGGATATGGAAGTAGTGATGAGGCGTAACTTCTAGGTCTCCACGATTGTGCATAAAATAAGAACACAAATAAAATCTAATAGTGCAATATATCCAGTAGATAATATATGAAAAAGAAGGTAAGTATCTTACTTACAATATCCAGAGCAATAAACTTGCTCTGGTGATGAAAGCTTGAGGTGGTATAATCCCCACCTGAGGATATGAGAGGAATCCAGGATGCACCAGGAACAGAAGATGGATGAGGGAGCAGAGTAAGAATTAAAACTATAAATTTATTGTATAAAGTAAAAGGTACAATGTAAAATATACAATTATAATAATAAATATAAAGTCTCTGGCTCCACTTTACGCGTTTCGCTCCAAACAGGGCTTCATCAGAAGTATCCAGTTCGGCAAATTCAGTCTCCATTTTATAGGGTATGCTGATTGCTTCATTGTGTTCCATTGTGTGCATTCTTCCGGTTTCCTGCGGGTCGCGTGCGTCGTCCGGAAGTGACTTAACGCGGCTCGCAGGCATTGATGGATCTTGTAGTGTCCCTACTGGTATTGAGACCGGAAGCTGCGGACGTCGCCCGGAAATGACGTCACGCAACTCCCGGTGGATGCTGGGAACCGTAGTTCATCGTATCGCCCGATCTTTCAGCTTAAAGACACATAGTATTTCAGTACAAGCTTATATAAAATATATATCATAATATGCAGAACTTTGTAACATATATTTTTATATGCATATAAAAGAAATTATTGCATGCACATAATTTGTACATAACTCCAATCTAAAACATAAACAAACAAACAAATATTTATAGAATTAATTTATACAGCCCAACAGTGTATAAAAAGATGTATCAATGAACATAGGAGAGAAGGTGCCAAAAGAAAAAATTAATTTGTATAAACTAAATAATATTATATACAAATACTCCATAAAATTGATGGCTAAATAGAAATAAATATTAGAAATTAAAAATTAAAAAATATATATAAAAAATATAAAAAACATGTATATTAAAAAGGTCAAATTCAGCATTCAAGCCATTGGGATGCAGAGTGTCTAAAAAATATACCCACTCCATTTCTTTTTTGCCCAATTTTTTAATCATATCACCCCCTCTCCAATGTTAAGATAATTTAGTGATGCCCATAAATTTCAAGAAACGTGGATCATTGTTGTGCTGTTCAAAGTGGGAAGATACAAGGTGATTCTTAAACCCTTTCACAATGTTTCTACAATGTTCTCCAATTCTAATTTTTAGGGGTCTTATGGTTCTTCCTATATATTGTAATCCACATGGACATTCTAACATATAAATTAAATTTTTACTCATACATGTAATAGTATCTTTGATCTCGTATTCTTTGTTAGTATTATGTGACTTAAATTTTGATATATGCCTATTCATCTTTTGAGTTTTCCTACAGGCTACACAACAGTTACATCTAAAAAAATCCCTTTTTATTGTTTAAGAAATTCTCTACAACTTTTGTGTTTTTTTGTTTTGTATAATTTTTTGTAAGTTGCATCTTTAGATTTGGAGCACCTCTAAATACTATTTTTGGTCGATCCGGGATAATTTTCCCTAAGATCGTATCTTCTTTTAATAAGTGCCAATTATTCCTAATTATTTTCTGCAGTTGTTTATTCTTATTGTTGTAGTCCAAAACTAAGGGTAACATAAATTCCTTTTCATCTTTATTTTTATTCGGGCCTGTCTTGTTTATTAAGTTCTTTCTATCTATCTTTGCTACTTCTTTTATGGTTTCTTCTATTGTATTCCCATTGTAGCCTTTCTCAATAAATTTCTCTTTCATCTCGTTAGCCTGACTATTAAAAATGCTGTTTTCAGAGCAGTTCCTTTTTAATCTAAGTAGTTGGCTTTTGGGAATACTGTTAAGCCAACTCTTATAATGGCAACTATCTGTTTTAATAAAGTTGTTTACATGTACTTCTTTAAAATGTGTTTTTGTGTGGATTTTTTTATCTTTAATATAAATATCCAAATCTAAAAAAGTAACATTTGTATGGCTAAAATCAGCTTTTAAAATAATACCATCTTCATTTTTGTATAAAAATTCAATAAAACGATTAGCAGAAAAAAGGGGGCCTTTCCAAACCAGTAAAAGATCATCTATATATCGATAATAGGCGACCAGGTTCTCCACCCAGTCATGTCCATTCCATACCATTCTCTCCTCCCATTCCGTCATGAAGAGGTTGGCATAGCTGGGTGCGAACCTGGTCCCCATTGCCGTTCCATTCTTCTGCAAATAAAAAGAGTCCTTAAACCAAAAATAATTATTGTTAAGAATAAGGAAAATCCCCTCAATTATAAAATGTATTTGTTCTAATTTCATATCGTTGTGCCTTTCTAGAATTTTCTTCACAGCACTACAGCCTTTATTATGTTGAATTATAGTATAAAGTGATTGGACATCACAGGTGATTAATATATAATCATCTTTCCAATCAATGTTCTCTAGTTTATTTAAAAGATCTATCGTATATTTAAGATATGATTGACTTAGTTTAACATATGGCTGTAGCATTATGTCTATATATTCAGATACATTAGACAAGACAGATTCTATACCGGAGACGATAGGTCTCCCATGGGGTTTATCAAGACATTTATGAATTTTAGGTAAAAAATAGATCACTGGTATCTTTGGAAATTTTTTGTTTAAATAGTTATATTCTTCATTATCTAATATATTCTTTTCTTTTCCTTGATCTAAAAAAACCTTTAATAGAGTTTTCACTTCCGGGGTAGGGTCCTTTGATAGCTTTATATATGTTTTGCTGTCACCTAATTGTCTAAGGGCTTCTTCTTCATACATTTCTGCTGATAAAATTACTAGGCCTCCACCCTTGTCTGCTGGTTTAATGACAATCGTCTCATCTTGTTGTAATTCTTTTAAACCTTCTCTTTCTTTTCTTGTTAAATTACTTTTATCGACTTTACTTTTTACATTTAGATCTCTAATGCTTTTAGACACCTTTTTTTCAAACATGTCTATTGCACTGGACTTACAATGAGCTGGATAAAACTTAGATTTATTCTTTAAAAAACTTTTTACATAAGTGTGACTTTCTACATCATTTGTAGTTCCCTTATTCATAATATTGCTATTGCCCATATAAAATCTTTTAAGAGTGGCATTACGTCCAAATTTGTTAATATCAATATACGCCAAGAAGGGATTAAATGTTTTTGTAGGTACATATTTCAATCCTTTATTTAATATTTTTAACTGAATATTTGTTAATGGTTTGCCTGACAAGTTAAAAATCCCTTTATTATCATCTTCAGCTATGTCTTTTTCTAACATCGCTCGGTTCTTCCTTTTTTGTTTTCTTCGACCTGACCGCCTTCCTCTAAACTCCTTTTGCGGCCTCTTAAAGGACTGGTATGATCGGATTGTCTTTCCCGGATTGACGGAATCTCTAAAAAAGACGTCTCGTCAAGTTGTTCAGAGAAAGACAAAGCGTGATACCTATTATGTTTGAGAATCTCTTCTGGGGGGCTATCTTTAGTATCATCATATTTCCTATGGGTTCTTCTATCATCTCTTTCCCATTGGTGTTGACTAATTCTATTTCTTGTTTCTTTTGGTGATCTATATCCTTGTGTAAGTCTATAGGTTTTAGGTCTAACTACCATTGAAGTGTCATCTGTGTTCCTTTGTGTATAAAATATTTCTCTTCTATCTAAACTTTCTTTGTGGTGAATTGTGTCCATTTTTGTTTTCTGTATAGGTTTATTGTGCCTTTCCTTTACCTGTATATCGTTTTGGGATTGATTATTAGTAAATGTGTCATTCTTTTTTGTTTCATAATTTTGTTTTGGTTTGTGTGTAAACTTATCATCCTTTAAGTCAACTCTATATCTATTAGGTGAAGGGTATCTGTTTGTTCTTTTAGGTGAATAATGCATTCTTGTCCTCCTTAAAGTGTAATTGTTGTGAGGTGAAAATTTATTTGGAGAATAATTCCTATTTGATGACACTCTTCTCCGTCTCTGTTGAGTATTCTCATTTTGTATATGTACTAGTCCAGAATTTAAATCTTTTTTGTATGTCCTATTTCGATTAAAATTGGTCTTGACAGGAGTCCTTTGTCCATAATGATTCCAACCTTTTTTTGTATTGTATGTTCTTTTGTTGTATGTACGTATTTGGTCATGTGCATAGTCATATTTGTCTCTATTAAATTTGTTTATTTTAATCCTTTTTGTCTCCATTTCAGTCTTTTCTATTGTTCTTTTGATTTTTAATGTAGAATCATAATACTCCTCTGTATCACCAAATGGAATTAGTTGTTGTTTTAAATCATTAATTTTTTTGTCTAGATTTTGTAATTTTTCGTTCTTTACCTTTATAAGGGATTTCATTAGGCCAAATGTGCAAAATTCTAAGTGCCCATACCACTCTTCCATAAAGGGTCTATTATATATAACCATATATTAATAAAGGAGCAAATCATGTTTATAAAAAAATTTTATAAACATGATTTGCTCCTTTATTAATATATGGTTATATATATATATATATATATATATATATATATATATTATATTTTTTATATATATTTTTAAATTTTTAATTTCTAATATTTATTTCTATTTAGCCATCAATTTTATGGAATATTTGTATATAATATTATTTAGTTTATACAAATAAATTTTTTCTTTTGGCACCTTCTCTCCTATGTTCATTGATACATCTTTTTATACACTGTTGGGCTGTATAAATTAATTCTATAAATATTTGTTTGTTTGTTTATGTTTTAGATTGGAGTTATGTACAAATTATGTGCATGCAATAATTTCTTTTATATGCATATAAAAATATATGTTACAAAGTTCTGCATATTATGATGTATATTTTATATAAGCTTGTACTGAAATACTATGTGTCTTTAAGCTGAAAGATCGGGCGATGCGATGAACTACGGTTCCCAGCATCCACCGGGAGTTGCGTGATGTCATTTCCGGGCGGCGTCCGCAGCTTCCGGTCTCAATACCAGTAGGGACACTACAAGATCCATCAATCCCTGCGAGCCGCGTTACGTCACTTCCGGTCGACGCACGCGACCCGCAGGAATCCAGAAGAATGCACACAATGGAACACAATGAAGCAATCAGCATACCCTATAAAATGGAGACTGAATTTGCCGAACTGGATACTTCTGATGAAGCCCTGTTTGGGGCGAAACGCGTAAAGTGGAGCCAGAGACTTTATATTTATTATTATAATTGTATATTTTACATTGTACCTTTTACTTTATACAATAAATTTATAGTTTTAATTCTTACTCTGCTCCCTCATCCATCTTCTGTTCCTGGTGCATCCTGGATTTCTCTCATATCCTCAGGTGGGGATTATACCACCTCAAGCTTTCATCACCAGAGCAAGTTTATTGCTCTGGATATTGTAAGTAAGATACTTACCTTCTTTTTCATATATTATCTACTGGATATATTGCACTATTAGATTTTATTTGTGTTCTTATTTTATGCACAATCGTGGAGACCTAGAAGTTACGCCTCATCACTACTTCCATATCCTTAGACGGGGATTATACCGTCCAGGCGCTATACAGTAGAGCTCTTAGTAGCTCTGGAAAGTGTGAGTTAGTCCTTCTACTAGTTTCCTGAATATCTCACAATATTTTATCTGATATACTGCACTATTATTGTCCATATTTTATTTGTTTTTTATAAGGTTGACGTCAATCAGTATACTGTTGGACTACTCTGTATGTATATACATATATTTATATATTCTCTATTGTCACCTTATTACCTATTACATTGGCGCGGTATTCCACCTCTGTTCTTTCACTTTTCTGATTATTAGCAGGTATTGGGAAGCCCTGCTGGTTTGCTGCTGCCGCACTTACAGTCAATATAGAGAGCGCCTATACCTGTGTGTTTTTATCAGTAATGGATTCTGCCCTGGACGGTGCCTTCTGTGGTTGGTGTGCCATCACGTACTCCTGCACATCCGTCATCAGGACCGTCAGGATGTCCAGAGGTACTGGCTGCGGTAAAAACTCCAGCCGGGTTTGCATTTCTCTTTGGTATGGGGTTTCTTCCTTGGCTGGTGAGAGAGTGCTGTTGTGAGCTTAGGTCGCCCTCCATCAGTTCAGCGATCAGCACGGCTTTGGACTTGTTGCTAGCTATCTTTCCTCTAGCTTCCAGCAGTTCCTTCAGTGTCTGCCTTTTCAGTGTAGCGTAATCCGTCTCCATTCACTTCTGTGTTCGCTTCTTTTGTTGCATTCGAATTGCCATTCCCTTTTCCTGTTCAGCAGTTTCAATTGCACGAACCACACTTTTCGGCTGTTAAGGTTGGATCCCGTCGCTTGCCACCAATTGTAGCGGAGCGGCGATATTAAATCCCACAATCTCCGCTGGTTAAGAAGGTAATCCACAGTCAAGTGCTGAAAAGCAAGGCAATATCCCAAATCCCCCAGTAACCGGACGAAACACAGTTCTGGGAGTCAACTGAAGTCTTTATTCACATGCTCCAGTACTTATACAATTCCCCATGCAAGGGGTTTCCTGAGTCACATCACAGGGGTATTCCAGGAGTGGACTACATGGGAAACTTAATGTACAGAGCATTTCTCCCATCAGGCACTGCTGCACGAGAGGGATCTTCCCACTGGAATGTACCGTTAAGTGGATTATCCCTCCGTGCAGCAGAACTGGCATTTCGCATTAAAATTTATAACTTTCTCAATAGTGGGTTGATTTACACGAATGGACGTTCAGTAGATAGCTGGGGTCTGAGCACATAGTTCGTGAGATTACCGCTCAGATCCCAGCTAAAACAACTGAACGCCGCACGAAAAACATATTCATCAAAACATACATTCAAAAGGCCGATTAGCATACGGGGAGTAACATACCGAAAAGCCTGAAACTCCCGAACGGCCTGGAAGTCCAGCGGTGTTAGCGCCGTCGAGTAGCCGTTTTCAGTACCACTCGCTCGACGACCAAACACCGCTGGCGGAACAAAGGATTCAAGATGTCCGACCGTCGCGTGGTCGGTAGTCGAACGACGGCCACCTAGGAGAGCCTCTAATTACCGATTGCAACATTGTTGCAATCGGTTAACAAGCGCCACACGTCTTTTAGTGTGTGCGCTATTGCAGGATAGTTTATTCGGTTCACGAACAGCCTGCAAAGGCGCTGTTCGTGAAACAAAATGAAATACAGCTATCTGCTTTCGGCAGATAACAATACAGGCAATGCAATCATACGGTTTACAGTACATTACAACCAGGTACATATAACGTTATAAGAACTATATGGGCAACCCTTAAAGCTATAGTCTCTCTGTATTGTCCAAGTGGCTAGGTTTGCCACAACCTACATGTACAAAACTGCAAAATTGCTTTGAAAAAGTAAAAGCTAAGAAAGTAAACAATAAAAAAGATAGCCACAGGGAGGGAGGGAGTAAACAACGGACAAAATAATGGTACTCTGGGGTCTTCAAAACTGCTACCACAGAGCTTGCTGGATGTTGCTGAGGAAATCGATTGTTAAATTATGTTTAATAATTTTCTTTAACCTTTTCACTATCAAGTAGTCAGCAACAAATAAAACACCACTAAATTCCAAATATATGTCCATAAAGTAATGTTTAAATATATTTTTAATTTCAGTAAAACTTGCCAAACAATGCAGTTACATACTCCCAGGCCTCTGGTAGAGGACCCGAGAATGAGGAATAAATATATTTGTATATTTTATTGTATATTTGCCACCCAGCATGTGGATACTCTGGAGTTTATTTGCTATCGTCTGAAATCCAGACACCACGCTGGTTGTGGAGATATGCCCTATTTTATATGATATCTTGTAAGTGCAATACTGTGCAATAAATGTGTTACATTTTAATACCATCTGCACTATATATATTTTTTTTCCTTCTGCTATCCTGAGCCATAAAGAAACTGTGCTAGAAGATAAGCCATCTACTTTCCTGACCCTATGTATGGGAGAAATGCCTGAATATACATTGATCTAGTGAGTTTTCTACCACCCCTACCCTGACATTATACCCTTACATACTACACCATTTGTATTTTTATTTACTTTACAGAATACGTTGTATTGTTTTTTCAGGTTACATAATATTTTTATTCATCTATTTGGTGTTTGGTTATTTGCAGCCTGTATTTATTCAGTCCACTTTGGTACCCTTTTTGGTTTCTTTCTTTGGTTTTTGCTATTTCAAGTGTCTTAAGAGGGAACATTTTATCCTTAAAGGGTCCATCTGTAATTTGGAAGCATATAGTGAACCATCTTTGTGAAAGTGTATATAGTTGGGTAGCAGTGTTCATGGGAATTACTATGTGGAAGTGTGATTGAGTGTGTATGGTGTAACTGTGTGGTATGTGTGGGTTAAATGTGTGTGCATGCAGAGGTGACTGTGTGTGTGGGGATGACTGTGTAAAGGTTTTGACTTTGTGTTTGAGGGATACTATGTGCATGCTAGGCTGACTGTGGAGAAGGCGATAATGGAAAAAGAATATGTGAAAGGGGTGATTGTGTGCATGGAGTTGAAGGTGTGTGGGGATAATTGTGTGCCTGGTGGTGTTGTGTATAGGTGTGACTGTATGTAAGTGGTGATTGTGGTAAATGTTATTTCCTCTGTGTTTTCTAATGTGTGTAGCAATGCTGTGTTTATGTGTCCATCCTCCCCACAGAAAATAAAATATTCTTATTTTTATTATTATTTCTATTGTAGACAAAGTGCCCTGATGGTCCAGATGGATTCCCTGGTAGCCTGTTGTGGCTTGCAAAGATTTCTCTGGTGGCCTTGTGCTGCAAGTCTGCACCTCTGGCCAAGTGCATACCTTTGTGATTGCTCTCTTCTGGTCTATGATTGCAATAGAGCATTGGCAGTGATATGCACCTAGCAAAGAAGCAGATGTCCAACTTCCTTGCTGCTGAGAACCCCTCATTTTCACAATATTGGCCATCGACAGTCCACCCACAGTAGAAAGAGCACCACTTGCAAATTAAATTAATCTGCAATAAACAAATTACCCTTGAAAAATTATGTCTACACAAAATGGGGTATGGGAATATTCCTTAGGAAAATTTCTGTCGGCACAGGTCCCATAGTTAAAGGGTTAATGTGCTTATTTTCTATATTTTATGCTTTTTACTGAGTGTTTTGCATTTTATACAGATTTAAAGACAACACTTTATTATATTAACTTTTATTTTGCATCTTAACAGTTCTGTAGATTTTCTAAGCCTATTCCCCTAAAGTACAAATTATTGACTTTGCTAAACAAATTTTGACCTCCAGAATGATTTTATTCTTGATAGAGCAACATAAATATACAATACATATGTCTACATATTATTTCTTTAAAAATATCTTTTCTTCACTTCACTGAACTTCTGATGTTACACAAATGCAAGCATTAAATTTTGTTGTACACATTTTTCTGACAGGACAAATATTATTTATGCTGTGGCAATGCTGGCTGCTTTTTCTTCTTGTCAGAAG